TTCTCCAAAAATATGATAAGCTTAGAAATAGTGTTCTAATCGACTAAAGGCAATAGCACTATGTTTAGAAGCTCTATGAAGTTTTCTGCTAACTGTTGTTAACAATTCAAAAAAATTTACTCCATTAATGCAACTTAATATAAGTTACTACTTTTTTAATTATCAGATCACGTGACTCATATTTCAGGAGTAAAAATTAAGTAGTTACGTTAAGTCACACAATCTTATTTCGAGATAGATTATTAGGTTTTGATTAAAACCTTTTTTTGCTAGCCTTAAAACTTATATTTGAAATGTTATGCGCTCGTGGAAGACTGAGTGATAGTGGAGGCAGACTTGAATTATTAAGTCAACCGTTCGAGGTTAACAAACAAAATTAACTGCTTTTCCCAGGGCCTCAAGGCCTTTTTGTAAGGAGTAGTGGACCTCGGTCATGCGCTGGTTCGATAACAACGCAGGAGAGCTTGCCGGGAAAAAATCTTGCATAAATGACAATAGCCGATAATCCAGTTGGCTTGAACTGCTGTGGCTTAGCCACTCAGAAATTGGCACTTCCCACATCCAGTTCACTCTTCTCTTTGCACTAAAAGAAGGGAAGAAAATTTACTTGCTCATGCTTCTCTCCTTTTACATACAAATTTGACAGGATTTCAATGTGACTTAACATTAACATTGGGACGGAATATTATTTATATTAACTCATGCTAAACACCAGTCATTTGTTCGACTGAACTTGTTGCAAAAAGAGCGGTGAAAATCGCTTAACAATTTAATTAATGCTTGGGTGATTAAACAGTTGGTGTGTTACGATTTATTAATTAATAGTACTACGTAAACGCCAAAACGGTGGCTGCTGCCGTAATAACTTATTATTATAATATCAGTAGTGGTAGTTATAATATTAACAATAATAGTAATAATTATAATAATTATAATTGTAGTAATAATAATAAGAATAGCAGTTGTTAGAATACTGATGAGAATAATAGTGCTTTGCCTGTCGCAAGTTAACATAATTTGGTTTACCGGTAGTTGGAATGTTTATAATGTTGCAAAAATAATACGAAATTTTGGTTGAATTTTAGTCAACATGTTTTTCTGCTGCTAGTCGTTGGAAAGGGAGTCGTCTCGTGGTACACTAGGGAATCAGAAACTCCGTTAACCCTATTGGAGACAGGCATACAGACTCTCTCTCTCGACATCTCCGAGTCAAGACAAGGGGAAGGGTTAACTTTCCGTTTTCCTTTGCATTTGGGAAAAAGTGTTAGCAATTAACCAGATTAAAAATAAGACTATTGCAGTATGTTTATGAAATTATTAATGCGATACAAAAAGGGCTACTCTGTAAATTTAAGCTTGCGAACTTAAAACGTAAAAATCGGGTTATCCCTTAAAGTTACTAATGTTATTTACCAGGCTAGTCATGGTTAATATATAATGTAGTTATTTGCTTGAGGTGTAGTGTGTACTGGTTGTTTGTGACGATTCAGGTTTTTATTAATATTTTCGCTTATTTATATGTACTAATTCTAAGCTATGCTAGTATTTAACTTTATGCTATTTGATCCTAATCTAAAATTATATTTGCCTTTAATATTTCAGTTTAATTGTTCCCAGTTAAGCTTTTGCATCTACGGTTTTTGAAAAATATTTTGTTTTTTATTTCTGGTCAGCATATATCAGTGTGCATGTACATAAATCATCATTGTACTGCAGGTACGAGTAACTTGCAGGTGACTCACCTCTTTCCAGATGCACGTTGGTCTTTTCTCAATTGCTTTTAAAACAACATTTCTAGGGAATGACGAGGGAAAAAAGACTTTGTTGGTAATTTTATTCTACCAGCATTACAGTAGTGCTGTACCATGCGAGTATTTTTTTCTTTATTCTTAGTACGCTAAATAATTGCATTAATAAGTATGTATAGAAAGTCATGACGTGACATTTTCATACCAATTCAAAAAAACAGTAAATAATCTTACAAAATATTTGAACCGAGGACCTCGCTTGTAGCTCTATTAACCACGGAAAGGTAGACATTTCATACGAAATCGAAAAAACAAAGAATAATCATATAGAATATTTTAACCGTGGATCTCGATTGTAGCCCTAGTAACCACCAAAAAAATAATCCGTTCCTTTGCACAAAAATATGTTTAATATTTCAATAAAGCTTACCATTTTGTTTCCAACCTAGATAATGCGCAACGTTTAAGAGAAAAAAAAATATGTGCAATAAAAACTCCATATTAATTAAATTTTTATGTACAGTTCTAGTCATTTGTTCGAA